AAACCCTTAGGCTCAGGTAATCTACTCACCTCGGCCTCCCAAAGTGCTGGGACTACAGGCTGAGCCACAGAGCCCAGCTTAATTATCTTCTAATAGGAGAGATCACAGAAATGTTGGAGGAAACATATCCTTCATAAACAAACTGAATGCTTAGCCTTGAATAACTCATTTTATTTGGTGCTAGAGATCCAGCAGATAAATTTTATGGTTACTGACCAAGTCACTGGGGAAAATAGAACCTTGAGATGTTCCTAGAGTGAATTTGTACATCTGAAGTCATTCCAGACTAGGATTGGGATATTGTTTGATCTAGACTGGAGTAGCCCATAGGTCAAGTGCACTAACGGTCATAAACACCAACGCTAGTAGAGATCTAATTGTTACTCTAGTGTGTCTCTTTGTAACATGCTGATGAATTTTACAACCATATTTTTGATTGTAGGAATTGGGTTTTTACTAAAAAATGCTCAAAATATTTTCAAATGATATAATAATTACAGATATCCTATATTTATAGATTATTTATAGATTATGATGTTAAAAAGAAAATGTAATCTTATTCTACATAATCAGCATTTCTTTTCCTTAATATATTTTTTACTTTTTTGACTTGGAGTCTCACTCTGATGGCCAGGGTGGAGTGCTGTGGCACAATAACAGCAGCTTCAAAATCCTGGGCTCAGGTGACTCTTCTGCCTCAGCCTCCCAAATAGCTGGGACTATAGGCGTGTACCACCACACCCAGTCAATTTTTTGCTTTTCTGTAGAGACGAGGTCATGCTATATTGCCTAGGCTGGTCTTGAACTCCTGGGCTCAATCAATTCTCTTGCTTTGGCCTCCCAAAGTGTTAGGATTACAGGCATGAGCCACCACACCCAGCCAGCACAGTTTCTTTAGACAGAAATAATAATAGATCTAATAATACTAATGTACATATTAGCTTAGTGTTCCTATTCTTTTGGTAACACTGAAATTTTCTGATTCCTTCTTATAAAGGGTATTTCTGAGCCATAATTAAGTCCTCTGAAGGGATCTATTATATGGGTGTATCTTGAGCAAAATCACTGCCTATAGGCACTTGAACTTGTTATGTCCCTTACAGGTAATACAATTATTAGTTCCTATAGTCTATAACTAAACTTGTAAATGTGGTTAATATTATCTTTCATTTAGCAAATATTTATTGAGTATCTACCGTGTGGCAGGCTGGGCTAGAAGCTGAGGATACAGTAACGAAAAAGGCAGACGAAGCCCTTTAACTAGAGTCTGATGATGACCATGGGCCTGATTAACTCTGACTCAAGAGATACAATCTAATTCCTGAGTCTGTTAAACTGCAGGAGAAATTGTGGGTCAAACAGTCACTCAGTGGAGTTTTATCTGAAATAGCCTGGTGGTCTGCCCCTCACTGTAATCCTTAGATCTGAGATAAGAGAAGGAGAGGAGGCAGGGAGGGAAAGAGGAAAGAAGAATGTCACTTTAGGTACTACTGCCACACAAGGCACTGCAAGTGTCTCAGGCTGAAGGCAGACCACAGCACCAAAGCTTTTAAAATATGAGTCATTACCCATTTCTCTCAAGTTCCCCAAATGCCAAAATAATCCTGTGATATTGTTAAATAATGAATATACCTTTAGTCTTGCATCCCAGTTTCCTGGCATAAGAGCTTCTAAAGTCCTTGAAATATTCAGGGTGATGGGTTTCTTTTGTATGCAAATGAGATGACTGGGCTTGGGGGGTCTTAGTTTCAGGATGGGGGCTGGTCTCCAGAAAGACCAGGGAATGATTAGAGGATTGAAACTTTCATCTCCATCCACCAGATCTTTGGAGAGAGGGGCTGGAGATTGACTTAATTACTAATTGCCAATGATTTAATCAGTCATGCCTACATAATGGAGCCTCCACAAATATCCTAAACAAAGGGGTTCATAGAACTTCTGAATTGGTGAATACATCTACATGCCAGAAGGCAGTGTGTCCCAGCTCCACGGGCACTGAAGCTTCTGAGCTGGGGACCCTTTTGGAACTTGTCCTATGTACTTCTTTATCTGGCTGGTCACTTGGATTCTCTATGATATCTTTTATAATAAAGCAGTAATAGTGAAGTGTTCTAACTTCTGTGAGCTGTTATAACAATTACTGAATCTGAGGAAGGGTGCATGGGGACCCTGGGTTTGTGGCCAGTTTAAACAGAAGTAACCTGGGGATCTACTGCTTGCAATTGGTCTCTGAAGTGAGGAGCAGTCTTGTGAGACTGAGCCCTTAACCTGTGGTCTCTGTGCTAACTCCACATAGTGTCAGAATTGAATTAAGTTGTAGGATACCCAGTTGGTATCTGCAGAGAATTGAACTGCTTGATGTAAAAATCCCACACATTTGGTGTCAGAAGTGTTCTGTGGGTAGAAAGAGATCCTAGTAGTAGTTAATAGTCCCTAAAGTAAAAAGAAGCAAGAAGGTGGACTACATGACAAGTTCTCCATAAATGAATTAATAGAGCCAGTTCTGGTAAGCATATATAGTAAAATTTTCATTTGGCAAGTCTTATAATTATTTTATTACCCACTTAGGGAAATACATTTTGATAGGAAAGAAACTAAACTATACCTGCCAGAACCTGGAAGGAAGAAAGGGTTACACATCATAGCTCTGTGTTAAATATTCCTACCTTTTAATCTAAGCTCAGTAATGATATGGATTAAACAAAAGTTCTAGTTCTAAAGCTTTATAGTTTTTTCAGCCATATATCTTAAAAATGTTGAATTACATAAAGTCATTCAGCCAAATTTGAGCCACAGAGCTGAGCTTAGGTGAGTCCAGTTTAAACCTGTGAAGTGTACAACAGGGTATTTCTACCTAAATCAACAGAGCAGCATTTCTTTCCTCATCCTCTGATGGGAAAAGTCAAGGAAGAAACCATTTACACCGATCAAGCTATGGACAGTCCTATGAGACTGTGAGGACTAGGACATGAGCTCAGGACCCTGATAATGGAAAATTCCCAAGACACACACACAGTGGCACATTAGAGGCAGGATTCAGCAGTCTAGGTTTTCATTTTGCCAACTTCAGGGGGATGATGATCTCACACAGAATAAAAGGTCACTGAAACGGACATGTTGTCATTTAATCCCATCTGCTCAAGGCAAGCTTTAAAATGCCCTGGGAAACAATATCACAGCAATGGCAATTCTTATTTCTTGGATTTCATGGTAATTCATAAAAATTTTACAAATGAAATGTCTACTGGAAGCTCTACTGCTACCATTAAAATAAATATCCATAATGCCTGCCCTCTTCTGAAGGTGTTTTCAGAAGCAGGGTGTTTCCAGTTTGTGCTCACTTGGAGCTGGCACATTCAGAGAGATTAGGAGATGTTCTGCTAGTCTGCGCAGATTGTTATGAGTTTCCAGCAAGTGGTTGCAGCTGTAAAGTGCATCTCTGAGGTACACAGAGATGAAGAGAAAAGCGGAACATGGGCGGTAGCAACAACAGGTGAAGTGACGCCCTGGGTCATCAGGAAGGGAGTTCTTAATAACAAGGGGATGAGACTGTCAGGAAAATGAGTGGGAGACAGAGCAGGAAGGATAAATGCACTCGTTCCATCCTCTCTAGCACAGTCTCACTTATTTTCCTACTTGTGGGTAGCATTACCAACATCTGCTTCTCTGTGACTTCTGGACAAACTGGAGAATTATACTTCCCCACCCGCCTTGATGTGGGTCATGTGACTTGCTCTATCCAATGAAATGAAGCAGAAGTGATGCATGTCCCTTCCTGGAAGATGTAGGTGTATTTAATGGTTGGGCTTGATTTTCCATCTTGTTCTTCTCCTGCCTGCCCACGTAAATGTACCTGTTGATGTAGAAATGCCACAGATGGAAGCAATAAACTCTGTGTGAATAAAGAAAAAAGCAAAAGCAAACCTAGCAAAACCAAAACCAAAAAAACTTTTGCTCCATGAAAATCAATGAGATGTCTGGGTTGTCAGCCTCTCTTGACTCCATGCTCTATTCTTTCCCCCTTTCTGACAGTCTGTCTCCTTCTCATCCCCTTCTTGTCTCTTCCCCTTGCTACCTATCTGTTCCATTCTTTTCCTCTTTCTTTACTCTATGATCCCATTGCTCTTGGAAATAAACATAATGTTTTATATTTCTATTCTTAATCTAAAGCATGTATACAATTATGTTTTTTTAACAAAATGGGTAAATTTTTTGAATTAAACAATTTCAGCTGAGCATGGTGGCTCACATCTATAGTCTCAGCTACTTGGGAGGCTGAGATGAGAAGAGTGCGTCAACCCAGGAGTCTGAGGATGTAGTGAGCTGTGATTGTGCCACTGCACTCCTGTCCGGGTGACAGAGCGAGATCCTGTTTCTAAAAAACACAAAACCAAACCAAAACAAAAAAAGTTTCTATTTCTTCCTTGAAAAAAACAACAAAAAAACTCTAAACTAAAACAAACCTTGTATAAAAATGTATGCTTTGAAACCTATGTTATGTGAACACATGGTGTTACTATTGTGAATAGGCACACAACTGACTTTCTCATATATGTTAGTGGCTATCAAGATAAACAAACACACAAACAAACAAACAAACCTTCCCCAAATACCACTCAACAGCCATACAGCTCAGAAAAACCTGAGCTGCCTCTGGAGTAGGTACTGAACAGGAAACCACGTAAGGTGTGGTCAGTCTCTCAGTTGTCATCAGTAATTTTGTTAAGAAGGCAAGTGAAACCCGAGCATCCAGAAGCCTGATCAAGACTGTAGGACATCTACAGTTATCAAAAGAACTATTCGAGACCTCATCTCTACAATAAAAATCAAAAAATCAGCCGGGCGTGGTAGCGCATGCCTGTAATTCCGGCTACTTGGAAGGCTGAGGCGGAAGGATCGCCGGAGCCCAGCAGGTCGAGACTGCGTTGGCTGGGAGTGGCCACTGCACTCCAGTCTGGGCGACAGAGTGAGACTCTAACTCAAAAAAAAAAAAAAAGAACTACTAATTTTCATGCACATTCATTCATGACATGAGGTCACCCTCACCACCCCAAAAGTCGTTTCAAGCAATTTAAAGCCACCCTAGACACAAAACAAGAGAGAATGAAAAAGCAGGAAGATGCAATGGTAGCCTGGCTAATCATGCATAATTAAACACAACAGATGTGCACTTAAAAAACAATTCAACAAGTTCTGGTTTGAAGTAAGAACATGCTCTACTGGGTAAACACAACTTGAACTTTCAGGCCACTTTACAACACCATGGAGAGACCCACTGAGGGTTTTGCATATAGTCAGTTCTTCAGATATGAAGTTGTGCAGAGCGGAGAGGAGAGAGTATACATTTATACGAGGAAAAGAAGACCATGCAAAAGGAACAGGAGTTGATGGAAAATTCTGAAGGTCACTTACTGCCTGTTTTTGCTCTTCCTCCTAGAGGTGTTGAAGACGAAAAAAAGGCAGAGGAAAAAAGGAGAGAAATTAATGCCCATCACCACAAACACTGGGAAGAAATGATAGAAGAATCAGGCAAACCAGGCCAGGCCCATGGGTTCTGTGATCAAAGTCTCTGTCTACCACAGAAGCAGCAGTGGGACAAAGAAAATGGCAGGCCCCTGCCCCATCCAATTAAGTCAGTGTTAACTTCTAGAGTTGGAAGGAAAGAATCTTAGAAACCATCTAGTTCCATTTTCTTATTATAGATGAAAGAGGCCTAGAGGGTTTGACCTGCCTAAGGTCGTATAACTATTTAGAGTAAACTGAAAGAGGAAGTTTAACCACAACTTAAAATTCTATACTAGTCATTCTGTTTCACTATTCACAACATTTACATGTGTTTAGGTACACTTATCTAGTGGTAATCGAAGTGTGGAACACAGACCAGCAGCATATGGAAACTTGTCAGAGATGCACATTTTGTGCCTTGCCCCAGATCTACCAAATGAAAACTCCAGGTGTGGGGCACAGCAACGTGTTCAACCTTCCAGCTGATTCTGATGCACACTAGTTTGAGAACCATTGCTCTAATAACTTCCTAACTAGCAATTCTACCTACCACAAGTTCTTTTCTTATTTAGTCCCTCCACCACTACACATGCTAGAACTGCACCCTCTCCACTTGCTTTAGACACATTGTCATTTTTTTCGGGGAACACCATGCATGTCCACTTCCCCCAGTAAGCTGGTGACTGCTTCAGGACCCTGAAAGGTCCCTCAAAAAAGAATTCTTGACCTTGACTTTTCACTGATTCAACACATGCTTATTCAGGACTTTTTATGCATGAGGTCCTGGAAACACCAAGAAATAGTCTCTGTCTTTGAGAACCTTCCAGTGATGGTACATAGAGCAGGCACCTGCTAACTAGCAATTGACTGCACAAATGAACACACTGCTGCACAATGCAGAAAAAAGCATAAAGATGACACAAACACTTTCGAGTTGCTCTCGTCTCAAACCTTTGTGCCTCAGTTACTCTGTCTTTTAATGGGTCTCTTCACTTCCTCTTTCTGTGCCTCAGTGTGGGTCACTGCGGTTAGGGAGCCTCAGTTCTTTGGACAAGTATGTAAATATAAAAGCTGTGCAATGGTTCTATTTATATTGAACCCATCCATGCAGGCAGTCTTTACTGGACATGTGTCTAGGAAGTCTCAGGAGTGGGTAAGTGCTCCTGCTCTCGCATAGTCTACATATCTGCAATGGCGAGAATGAGCTCTGTAATGAAAAGGAATTACAAAAGGGAGAGGGTAAGTAAAAACTTGGAGAAAACAATTTTTACTCCTGCTAGAAATTAGATGCACACCATGAAATCTGTTGAGGAGAGTCAACTCAGCACAGGAAGGTGCTGTTCATAATCAAACTAGCTGCTGGATGCCTGACCAAAGCTAAATCCACCCGAGGCCAGGCAGGGAGCCCTGAGCATGGGCTCAAGCAGCCTGTAGTCAGAGCCCTTCACTTACACAACTCTGGTCACAAGCTTGAGCTTTGCAGTTGGGAAGCAATCTCTCTTCCTGGCCAGACTTCCCTATGGGGAAGGACACTTTTCTTACATTCACAAGGCAAGGCAAACAGTCGTAGGAGAGTTATTAAACAACTTAAAAATGTGTTTTCATTGCTGGCCCTAAGTGTTGAAATGGAAATAGACATGGTGGGGGCGGGATAAGGCAATCTGAACAGGCTGAAATTGTATCTGAGGTTAAAAGACCAGTATATAATTTATTAGAACTGTTTCTAAGACACCTCCCTATTTTCACAGTTTTTCTTAAGTTTGGTATTATAGACAACTTTGCCTTGGTCCAATAAAATGGGAAATTTTAGAAAGCAATGTTTCGTACTTGCACATCTGGTGACTCTGCTATACAAATCTGTCCAAAGATATGAAATCATTATATTTGCAGTTAGACACGTGTCAGGTTAAGATGGGGACGGTGGGCAGGGCAGTGCTTTCAGGACTTTGAGGGCCTCCATGTACATTGGTATTGGGGGTGGGTGGACTTTGGCAAAGTGTACTTAGGATGTTGTATAGTTTAAACTCACAAAAGCTATTCAGATAAAGCCTTAAGGCTCTATCAACACAGTAAACAGGTCAGATCTGAGGTCTTAAAACCTTTGTGTTCTCAACTCCTCAACTGGGTCAGTAAACCTTGACTGATGACAAGGGATAGAGCCAACTTGATTTAAAGTAAGTAATAATACCTTAATTATAAAGTGCAAATTCAGAACTGCTTATGTCACCCAAAAACATGTCTCTTTCACATGGGAAAAGTCTGGAGGGTTGACCAAAGCAATGGCATAGCCACTGTAGTAAAACAAATAAAAATGTACATTCAAACTAGGTAAACATTTGCAAATGAGGTTGAAATTTAAAACTGCAGAATTCATCTGGTAAATTTGTTTCAAAAGCAGTATGAGAAAAATGGAAAATGCAGTAGAAAAATTGGGAAATGAATTAGAAACACCAACACGTAACCATTTCAGATTAAAGAAGAAGTTTAAGGCAAAGGTTAGTTAGATACTTATTAATCAGGAGAAAAAGTGTAAGGGAAAGATAGGTACAGAAACATGGATACCTGAGTGTCAGTCTATACTTGTCATTAAAAAAAAAAAAGAAGATCCTTGATACTCCTTGCTTTTAGGGATTGAGCCTAGTCACCACTATATCCCAAATACTTAACATGATACTTAGGAACTCAGTACATTTTTGTTAAATAAACAAAAAATTAATTTTACCCTGCCTTGTTCCAAAATTGGATTAACATTTTTGTTGAATGAATAAACAGTGATGTCACTTCCTATGTATGCTTTCTTAAATTATCATATTTAGATAAAAAATAAAGTACATAATATTTTACTGAAGTAGTAGAATGAAAGAACTCCCTGTGAAATGGAAATTTACTGTGTGATGTATTTTAATTTATGAGTATCCCAGACCATGTGGCTTGATTGTCCATTTGACTAACTGCCTACAGCTGTTTTATGAGAGAATTAAATGCTAGCAGACTGAACATCAATGAAAGCAGGACAGTCCTTTGAAATTAAAATTAGGTTTCTAAAGGGTACTTTATGAGTTGATGAATATATTTTTTTTTAGTTATAGGAAAACATCTTTGAAATTTTAATAGAAGTCAATGATTCCTATGCATGACCTTTTAGGAATGCATATAATACACAAATGAAGATTATGCTGTAATTCTTTTAGGAAGCTGAACACTAAACACATGAGATTTTCAACTGTGAATTCTACTCAATGGATAAAAAGACAACATTCCTGGGTTTGTATTTGCACATTTTTCTTCCCAGTTTAAATGGCCTCAGCCAGTCAGGTGAGTAAACGATAAGGCATTTAAGAACTTGGCAGAAGGCCGGGCTCGGTGGCTCAGCCTGTAATCCCAGCACTTTGGGAGGCCGAGGTGAGTGGACTGCCTGAGCCCGTGGGTTCAAGACCTGCCTGGGCAACTTGATGAGACCTCATCTCTACAACAAATCAAAAAAATTAGCCGGGCGTGGTAGCGCACGCCTGTAGTTCCAGCTACTTGGAAGGCTGAGGCGGAAGGATCGCTGGAGCCCAGCAGGTCGAGGTTGCGGTGGCCGGGAGCCGCCACTGCACTCCAATCTGGGCGACAGAGTGAGACTCCAACTCAAAAAAAAAAAAAAAAAAAAAAAGAACTTGGCAGGAGATCCTACAAAATGGGGTGGTAGTGTCCTACTTATTTTACTGAAATTATGACATTTCTAAGACAATAGCTGGAAATATAAAGAAACTCAGGATTTGGGAGCAGAGCTCCAGGCATTCGCTCATTCTGCTTAGCCCTTGGACATAAGCATCAGTGGCACACTGCAAGGTGACAGTGGTATGTGTGGGGGTCTGAGCCAGTCACTCTGAGGAATGCAGGGACAATCCGAAGTATAGTGTATCACTCAGGGAAAATGCACCCTCACTTCCCTTCAGTACTGTCTTTTACAAAAATCACTTTGGAGCACCTTCCCAGCTGTGCTGGGGCATCTTTCTGAAAGGGAGCTTTGACACATGGAAGGGGTGAGTGGATCCCTGAATCTCTCCTGCCCCACAGGGATACTAACCCCATGACAGCATGGCTTTGAATGCCCCACGTGACTCCAGATGTTACATAGGTCACATATGTTCAAGTGCATCTCTGCTGTTTAGAGTGGTGACTGGGTTGCTTAGCTGGATATCTGACAACTGTTAGTAGGATTTGGGCCAGGTTTTTACATAAGATTTTCCTTAAACAAGACCCACTTGGACATAAAATATTTCTGAGGAAAAATCCTGCTAACAGGATTAATGTAAAAACATGTCCATGCAAAACAAACCCCAAACCCAGGACCAAATCTAGGAAGAAAAAAAAAAGTCTCAGTTTAATACTAAAAAAAGTAATCATCTTGAACAAGTCAAAAGTCTGTTTAAACACAAACGCTACATTTATCTAAGTTGCTAATACCCACGAGCTTCATTATTAAGAGAGTGGCTTAGAATAGAAAATGGAAGAAAAGTCTGCAAGTTTTTATTTTTCTGGGCTGCCATGTCTAGTTGACCCTTGTCACTTTGGAGGATTGCATTAGTTTCCTATCATCCTTTCCTTCTTAACCTGTCCCAAATATTTTTCTAAATTGTTGTTTTTGAAATCTTCAATGACTTCCCTTTATTACTGGATTAAACTCACTCCCATGGGCTTGGCTTTTGAAGCACTCTACGTTTTTGTGATTTTCACTCTGACTGTCATCTGTCATACTATGAAATACAGTGGGGTTCCAGCATCGACGGATAGGAACTGAGAAAGTAACACGTGAGCAAGTGTTCTGGTATTGCTACTGCATAATGAGTAAACATTCTTGTTCGGTGCCAATAAAATTGTCCATGTGAAGACATTAAAATGCCAAGCATGCCTTTCTTTGTTCTGGGGTGTAAGAGTTGTTATATACTCTTCAACAAAAATAGATATACCTGAATTAGCTTAGGCTGATTCAGGTCCCCAGTATACCAAACCTAGAGGTAATATGCTCTAATAAAGTTATTGATTAGAATGAGTTTGTGTGATGGTTACTTTTATGTGTCAACTCGACTGGGTTAAGGGATGGCCAGCTAGTGTGTCTGTGAAGGTGTTTCCAGAAGAGATTGGCATTCGAATCAGTAGACAGTGAAAAGAAGATCTGCCTTCACCAATGTGGGCGGGCAGCATTCAATCCATTGAGGACCTGCATAGAACAAAAAGGCAGAGGAAGAACGAATTTCCTCTTTCCTCTCAAGAAGGGACATTCATCTTCTCTGCTCTCTGACATTAGAACTCTCCTGGTTCTTGGGCTTTCAGAACCTGGGTCTTACACCCATGACCCAACACCTATCCCTGCAACCCACCTCTTGGACTATGAGTTACAGCATCAGCTCCTCTAGTTTTCAGGCTTGTCCAGACACAGACTGAATGACAACACTAGGTTTCCTGGGTCTCCATGGTGCAGAAGGCATATCATGGGACTTCTCTGCCTCCATAATTATGTGAGCTAATTCTCATAATAAACCCGCTCTTATAAATCTATCTATCCATTCATCCATCCTATTGGCTCTGTTTCTCTAGGGAGCCCTGACTAATACAATTTGCCTCCAAACCACTTATTACAGTAGGACACTTAATATTTGTTAAGTATTTAGGTATAATATTTGAAAACTTGCCTTAAAAGAAACTTTAAGTAGTTGAAAAGCATTATTCATTTATACATAGCTAATATCATATTTATAAATGTTCCTATTTATTCATAAAAGCAACTACTCAAGAACATTACCCTATTTCCAGATATTCATTTGTTAATAATCTGGATTTACACAGATTTAGATGACTTTGATACCCAATTAGGCTACACTTATGAAGGATCACCTAAAAACTGGTTCTAAGGGTGGTAGTCAAGCCTTTAGCCTCGCTCTGTTGTGACATCCCAGACAGCTGAGCAGATGGGAGGAGCAGACCCAAGCACAGGCCGCAGGCTCTTACCTTCAGCAACTTCATCAGTCCTTCCAGCTGGACCATCAGTTCCCGCCTGCTCTCCTGCAGGGCTGACATCCTCTGTTCCAGCTCATCCTTCCTTTGCCTGTCCAAGAGAAGAAGCCCATCAGAGAGAAACAGAAAATGTTTCTTGTTTGCTTGTGTATTTATTTTTTTTAGAGACAGAGTTTTGCTCTGTCACCCAGGCTGGAGTGGAGCAGTATGATCATGGTTCACTGTAGCCTCAAACTTCTGGGACAAAGTAATCCTCCCACTTCAGCCTCCCAAGTAGCTAGGATTACTGGTGGGTATCACCAAGCCTAGCTAACTTTTAAAAAATTAGCTGGCTAGTCTTGAACTCCTAGCCTCAAACAATCCTCCTGCCTTGGCCCCCCCAAAGCACTGGAACTGCAGGTGTGAGCCACTGCACATAGCCATTAATGTGTATTTTATATCTACATCTTCTCCTATACAGATTTCTTATCCATACTGTTTATTGATGTTGTATATTATTATTTAGCTGACTACCCAAAATATTTTATGCTTTGTTTCCAAAACTGGATTTTTAGGGTGGACTAATTGTCTTCTAGTCTTCATACTCCCTCAATTTCCAGTGCAGTAGATCCTTGATAAGGAAGAGTTACTCATTCAGTCTTCTAGGAAGACTTCCTTCTTTGAATCCAGAGCCTGGATGCAACATTCTTTCTCTGTATTGTGCATGACCAAACAATTATAACACAAGGTGAAAATGAACAAACCACGGTTATATGTAACAACAAGGAAGGATCCTAAAGAGGAATCCTAGGGGTGGGAAGGAGGCCTCAAAAGACTGCATTTTTTTTCTTTAAAAAATTTTTTTAATTTTAAAGCTGTGGGGTACAATTCAGGGTTAGGTATAGAGATGTTCATTATGTAGGTACCCCCCTCCCCAGCAGTTTCCCACTACTGTCAATCCTGCCCTCCCCCCTCCTTGGCGGTTTCCCACTACTGCCAATTCCTTTCTTACAGGTACGTCAATTGTTCAAGGTCCACTGATGAGTGAGAACATGTGGTATCCAGCTCTTTGTTTCTGTAACAGATCACTCAGTGTTATAGACTCTAAGTCCACCCAAGTTGCTGTGAAGCTCATAATTTTGTCCTTCTTTATGGTTGTGTAATTTTCCATCATGTAAATGTATATTTATTTATCCAGTCCTCTTTTGATGGGCAGCACAGTTGGGTTCATGTTTTTGTTATTGTGAGTAATACTGCAATAAACATGCATGTGCAGGTATCTTTTTATGGAGTGATCTTCCTAGTAGAGGGATTGCAGGGTCAATGGAAGGTCAATTTTTAGATCTTTTAGGAATCCCAAACTGTTTTCCACAGAGGCTGCACTAGTTTACACTCCCACCAACAGTGTAGAAGTGTTTCCTTTTTCCCGCATCCTCTCCAGTATCTGTTGTTTTTTAAGTTATTGATAATGGCCATCCTGAGTGGAGTTAGGTGACTACATATTTCTATTATGCTTAAAAATAAAAATGAAACATTTTATTATATAGGATGACAATAATGTGGTTATACTGTTTTAAAAACAAGAGAGTGATAAAACAAATTCTGAAAAGAGGTTCATTCTGTGGGGAAGGTGGAAGCAAGGAACTAAGTTAAGGAACGACATTGTTTTAACAATATAAGAGTTTCCAAATTGGACATGGGTTCATAGGTATTCATTTCCTCATTTTGCTTCATATCATATACATTTATGACAGACATTTGTCATACAAATTATCATTACAAACCTACCATTAAAAATAAAGACAAGCTACTTGGAAGGCTGAGGCGGAAGCATCGCTGGAGCCCAGCAGGTCGAGGCTGCAGTGGCCAGGAGTGGCCACTGTACTCCAGTCTGGGCGACAGAGTGAGACTCCAGCTCAAAAAATAAAAAATAAAAAAATATAAAAAAAATAAAGACAACCCTGGTGGTCAAGATGCATAACCATTAATCCTACAGATGAAATTGTTTCGTTTTATTATGCTAGCTAGGTATTGGCAGTCCCTGGACTCCTGTATATTGATCAACATCAGAAGGATGTCAGTTACCTATAAATGAATCCTGCCCTTCACATGCCTTTTGATAAACAAAAGTTCTTAATATTAATGAATTTACCAACTTCCTTCATTGTTAGTAATTCTGAGGAATTATTTTCTATTCTAAAATCCTAAAGAAATTCTCTTATGTTTTCTTCTAGAAGCTTTCAAGTTTTATATTCATGTCTAATCCATCTGGTGTTGGCTTTTTGCATACAGCAAGGTAGAGAGCCAGTATGTTTTGTTCATATGCATAAACACTGTGTCAGTATACTTTTAAATGTTCCCTCCTTTCTTCAGTGACATAGAAGCTACTTTTGAGACTAAATACTTTCTTATTGCTCAAGCTTTAGACTCTCCTTGGACTTAGATTAAATTCCTGCTTCTTGTTGCCCTATGTGAGACCCCCTAGACTCAGCCCTGTGCTTGCTACATCTATGATACTTTTCAGATTTTTCCAGCTTAACTGAGTACTTTTAGCAATCCAAGTTCCAGTTCCAGTTAGAATCAAAGATGACAGTTTTTTTCTCTTCTAGATATAAAATAGTCACTAGACAACAGGTGCATCTCATGCTGATAGCCTAGACTTACCCTCTGCCCAAGTCAGCAGCATTTGTTTTCCCATTCCTCCTAGTAAGACATCAACTGTACTAACATCCCAAGTGTGTGGCAGTGAACTACAGAGCAAGCAAAATGTCATCCCAAGTAAATTTAGAAATTAAGATAAATGTTCAGGAGAATGAGAATCTCTATACATCTAATGATTTTCATCTGCACAGTTTACATTCTTCATGACTTACTAATGATATAAATCTAAACAGTAGGATACCTAAGGAAAAACAAGAATCTCTGTTCTCTGGGAAAAGAAATCATGGTTGAGAGGCCAAATTACCAAAGGAAGAGCTTTAGAAAACAAAGGTATCCATCTATGCAGAATCCCAGATCACAGCAGATTAAAAACCTACCTAAGCAGAAAGAACCCACTATTTGGAAATGTAGAGATCTGGTGAGAATCAAATCACTAAACTTAGTTTCCATAATGTCTTAACTTACAGAAGAGTATATACACACACACAGTTTCTAAGACTGATGGGGAATAAATCCCTAATAATGGATCAGATCACTCTCATGCTATGCTCTCCTGAGAAGACTTCCCCATTCCTTCCAAAACAGCATCAACTGGGAAGCTGCTCTCTATTCCCATTTTGTTTCTATGTCCCTGGTTTCTTAACCTTGAGACAGTTTCTATTTACGTAGAAGTGATGGTGCAAGGGACTCCCACGTGGTTTCATGTCTCAGAGGATGTGCATAGGAATAGGAAGCATCCTTTTTTTTTTTTTTTTTTGAGTCAGAGTCTCACTCTGTCACCCAGTCTGGAGTGCAGTGGCATGCTCATGGCTACTCTAGCCTTGGCCTGCTGGACTCAGGTGATCCCTCCACCTCAGCCTTCCAAGTAGCTGGAACTATAGGCATGTACCACCACACTCAGCTAATTTTTAAAATTTATTGTAAAGATGAGGTCTTGCCAAGTTGCCAGTGCTGATCTCGAACCCCTGGGCTCAGGCAATCCTCTCGCCTCTGCCTCCAAAAGTGCTGGGATTACAGGCATGAGCCACCACACTCAGGTGCATAGTCAGAGTATTACTGACTACGAGGTGCCAGGAGAACAGATTCATAGGAAAAGGAAAGCTTTATTCCTGCCAACCACCTCTAAAGTCAGACTCATAAGTAAGGTAAGGAGAGAGACCACACCACAACAGTTTTCAAGCAATCACAGAAATAGAAACGCTGCTCTGCTGGTCCTTGAGCTCAGAAACTGGTATTTACCTCATTCTGTGATGATGGCTGAAGTTCTCAGAGTGATTAATAATGAAACACAAACATGTGAAACAAAAACCTAATGGGTGGGACTTGCTAATGGCTTGTTCTGACAGGGCTAGTTATACTAATATGCAGATTCCTTTGGGTTTCTGAGCTAAGTTCCTACCAAAGCAGATCCCAGTTTGGAGACAGTGGTGCAGTATCCCTACTTACCTTAGCAGCCGCAGTTCTGCCAGCAACGTGGGGTTCTGCTGGGCCTTTTCAGGAGTGGGTTGGGAAGCCTGCTCATGTTCCAGACGGAGACGCTGAATCTCTTGCAGGATTTCTCTAGAGAGGATGGACAGATGAAAGACGGCTGCACAATGCTTCTCGGCTCGCTCTCTCCTTCTCCCTGTTAGAAGTTTCTACTCTAGCAGTGCCTGCTCTACCCATCTTGTTCTGCTTCCAGTTGACCAAGATGTGAAATGGACACCTTCTTGATATTGCTTCTCTTGACATTTCCTCAGCAAAACAACCCTTTGTGGTAGGAAAAGTCATAAAAATACTCAAGAAGTTGAAAAATCTCCACAAAAGGTAAATGACAGCTGGAATGCTTTACTTACTCTGTCCCTCTCAGGGGGAAGGAAAAGAGAACTCCTTGAAACCTCCTGATGCAGGCAAGCCCTAAACTGACCTCTCCAGGTCTTCCCTGCCCTCTCTCTTTCCCTGACTGACCCCGACTGGTGGACAGCTGCTGTTTCCTCTACGTATGCTGGCTGTATTAGGTCGGGTCTCGTTCTGACTTCTACAGTTCAGTGCAGTGTGTTGTCTGGTATCTGTGCCTTTATTTATTTTTGAGTTGGAAGTCTCACTCTGTCACCCAGGCTGGAGTGCAATGGCATGCTCATGGCCACCCCAGGATTGACCTGCTGGGCTCTGGTGATCCTTCTGCCTCAGCCTTCCAAGTAGCTGGAACTACAGGTATGTGCTACTACGCTCAGCTAATTTTTTATTTATTGTAGAGACGAGGTTTCACCAAGTTGCCTGGTCTGGTCTCGAACCTGCAGACTCAGGCCATCCACTTGCCTCGGCCTCCCAAAGTGCTGGGATTACAAGCTGAGCTACTGAGCCTGGCCCTCCAGGACTTTAAATGACCTTTTGATGAGAGACCAGAGAGGTACATGTAGCATAAAAGGTCAGAACAAGATGACTAGATACAACAAAATGCTGCTGGGAAGTAAAGTGGACCAAGCAGTTGTGAGAGGGGAACATGCTGGTGTGTGGGAAGAGGCCCTGGGAAAATGAATCTACCTGAGGGTAAGTGAGCAGGGCTTTGGACTACCAGAATCAAGGGCATGTGCAAATGAGCATCCAGGGCATTTATTGGACTTGGGCTAGACTATAATCACTGAGGTGGGATCTTCCTTTGTGTTCAAAAGCCATCTAATCTGCAAAGAAAACAAGAATCAGATACACACAATATTCCTGGACTTTAGAAACAGGCTCGACTTCTGCCTTCTTACCTGTTCTTGTTTTCCAGTTCTGCAATAAGCTGTCTTTGTTGTTTGTTGGCATCAAAGTTAAAGCTCAAGTCAGTGGGAGGATGAGTCTAAAATGGGAGAAATTTTTTTTCCTTATTTAAATATATCCAGAGTCCCAGACTGTTGACTTTTTAAAAACAGATTTTGAGTTATAATTTACATACTGTAAATTTACCCATTTTAAGTATATAATTCAATGAGTCTTAGTAAATTTAAACAGTTGTGTAACATCACCATAGTCCAATTTTAGAACATTTTCCATCACCACAAAAAATTCCCTCATGCCAGTGTCATCAACTGCTTCGCACACCCCCAACGTCAAGCAACCACTGATCTTTCTGTCTAGTTTTGCCTTTTCTAGAAACTTCATATGAATGTAATCATACAACACATAGTCTTTGGTTTCTGGCTTCCATTAGCATGATGTTTTAAGGTTAATCCAAGTTACTCCATGAACCAGTAGTTCCTTTTTAAAAATTTCTAAATTTATTTTTTAAAATGAGACAGGGTCTTGCCCTGTTGCCCAGGCTGGTCTTGAATTCCTGGCCTCAAAATGATTCTCTCGCCTCAGCTTTCTGAGTAGCTGGGATTACAGATGCACACCACTACACCTGCCCTAGCAGTTCTTTCCTTTTCATTGTTGAGTGGTAGTCTGCTGCTTCTGGCCTTTGGTTATTACAAATTAAGCTTCTATGAACATTTATTTACAAGTATTTGTGTTCATATATTTTCATTTCTCTTGGGTAAATATGTAGGAATGGGATTGCTGAGTTATACAATAACTCTATATGTAACATTTCAGAAAGTGTCGAGTTGTTTTCCAAAGTGGCTACACCATTTGACAATCCCACTAATAATAAACGCAAGTTCCAATTTATCTACAGCCTTACCAACACCTGTTACTGTCGTTTTGGTTTCAACTATCCAAGGTACGAAGGTCCTAGTAGTAGTGAGCTTTTAAAAAATGGAGATATAATACCATAAAATCTACTTTTAACATGTACAATTCAGTGGTTTTTAGTGTATTTATGAGGCTGTAAAACTATCATCACTATCCTTTTTAAAAAAATTTTAAATCAGGTCTCACTCTGTCACCCAGGCTGGAGTGCAGTGGAATGATCATGGGTTACTGAAGCCTCGAACTCCTGGGCTGCAGGGCTCTACCCTCCTCAGCCTCTCAAGTAGCTAGGACCACAAGCATGCAATCCCATGCCTGGCTAATTTTTTTTTTAATTTTTGTAGAGACAGGATCTTGCTATGTTGAGTAGGCTGGTCTCAAGTAATCCTCTTGCTTTGGCCTCTCAAAATGCTGGGATGACAGGCGTGAGCCACCGGGCCCAGCATCCATTACCACTATCTAATTCCAGAATATTTTCATCACCCCCAAATGAAACTCCATGCCCACTAATAGTCACTCCCTATTCTCCTCCCCACACCCCCTGGCATTCACTACCTACTTTCTGTCTCTATGGATTTGCTTATTATGGGTATTTCATATACATAGAATCATACAATATTGACCTTTTATGCCTGGCTTCTTTCATCTAGCAAAATGTTTTCAAAGTTCATCCATGTTATATCATGTATCAGTACTTATTCCTTTTTATGGCTGAATAATACTTCTCTATATAGACATATCACATTTAATTTATCCATTCAACATTTGATGGACATTTGGGTTGTTACTACTTGGCTATTTTGAATAGTACTGCTATGAACATTTGTGTTAACTTTCTATTCCTCTTGAGTATATATCTAGGAGTGGAACTGCTGGGTCACAGGGTAACTGTCTCCTGAGAAACTGCCAAACTGTTTTCCAAAGTGGCTGCATTATTTTACATTTCTGACAACAAGGAATTAAGGTTCTGTTTTCCCACATCCTTGTCAACACTTGTATTGTCCATCTTTTTGTCATTCTAGAGGGTGTGAAGCAGTATTTCATTGTGGATTCTATTTTTATTTCTCTATTGATAATACATTGAACACTTTCATGTGCTTATTGGCCATCTGTATATCTTCTCCAGAGAAATTATGTGGCTTTGATTTGATTTGCATATTCACTGCTATTTCTGATCCTTGTTACCTCTTTTAAGAATATGGCAGCCAATTAACACAAAACAGAAAAATGGATGGCTACATGTTGTTTCCCTTTTATTGATTAACCAGAAGAGAAGCTCTTGATGTGGGCTTGGTGACACTATGCTTCACTCTAAGGTTCTGCCTGAAACATGATCTATCATGAAGCAGAATCCTTGTTTCCCATCTATAGCTCGAAGATTCAAAAAGTTATTCTTTTCATGTGGCAATAACCAGGGGCAAACAGCACAGCAAATCTAGGTAGGAGGCTTTTTTTCCCCAAATTATTAAATATTTTTCTTTTTTTAAAAGAAAAAAGATTTTTCTTCCTCCAGAGAAGTGTGGACCGGCAGCCTGCTGAGTAAATTTTCTATACTGCATTCATAGCCTTGCGAGAGCCTGAGTTGAGCCTCAGAAAAATGGCATGCTTGAGACTGAACGTGGCTATGAATAATAGGATGTCATTCCTGAAAACTGAAGTTAAAAGTAATGGCTCCTTGAGACCAGGGAAAATTACAGACAAAGAGAAAGGAATTTGCTTCATATGACAACAAATAGAAACCCTGTGGCATTTCACTGGAAATGTCTGAAGAATCTTTCTGGGTTTGAGTGACTGCAAAGCTGAGGTATCTTCTGTAGAGGAGCTTAATACATGCATCAAAAGTCATTATCACTAAAGATTCCTAACCAGGTCAGAGTCTTTGGCTCCAAGAAGCACTGTAACTCAGATATGAAGAAGTGGGTGTGGAGAAGATTCCAATCCCGACCAGCAGTTCCCGGGGTCACTGGCTCTGGCAGGTTGTGCTCTTCCACCTGCATGTAACACCAGGCAGAACTCCCCAGTAGTGAGTGTCTAACGATGGCTTATTTCATTCAATAAAATTTTAAATATAGTCAAATGAACATAAAAAACAGAGAAACATAAGATTTTGTTTATTTATTCCTGCACGCACCAATGTGCTCCTTTGGCAAGGGAGAAAAAAGAGCCAGGGACCCCTTCCTAAAATGCCTTCAGGATACTGGACAGAAAAAGACAGAAGGGGATTTATTAGTTTATAAAGACTTTGGCCAGAAGAGACCTGAAGATGACTTCTTTCAAAAATTAAACAGACTGTGCATTCATTTATTTAACAAATATTTCTGAGGTGCTCCTATGTGCCGAGCACTGTTCCAGCAGCTAGGGATGCTGTGGTGAATAAGACATAATCCCCACTCTCAGGGAGCTTACATGACACTGAGAGAAAAATAAGAAACAAAAAATAAATAAATACAGATATTAGAAGGGGTAAACGCGATAAAGAAATACCAGGTTTTGAGACCAGCCTGGGAAACTTGGTGAGACCTCATCTCTACAATAAATAAAAAAATTAGTTGGGTGTGATGGCACATGTCTGTAGTTGCAGTTTCTTGGAGGGCTGAGGTGGAAGGATCACCTGAGCCCAGCAAGTTGAGGCTGCTGTGGCCGTGAGTGTGCCACTGCACTCCAGCCTGCATGACACAGTGAGACTCCAATTAAAAAAAAAAAAGGAAAGAAAAAGAAAAAAGAAATACAGGGTAATGAACTAGAGTGAAGTGGGGCAGAAGGCTGAAAATGAGGTGATTAGGAAAGGGCTCTCAGAGATGCACTCACTTCTCAGAGAAGTGAGGAAGCAAATCAGGTGCAAGTCTGAGGGAAGAGCCTGCGGGCAGAAAGCAGGGAAAGGCAAAAGCCCCACAGCTGCTCCAGGGTGGGGTGTTCAGGTATGTGCTGAAGGAGTAGAGGGAGCTATGGTAACAGTGGCAGGCCACGTACTGGCAACGGAAGCTTGGGCCTAAATTACACAGGGCTTCATGGAGAGAAGTTTCTATTTCATTCTGAATGTGGGGTAAAGCCACTCTAGTAGAATGCCAAACAAGGGCACATAAAATCTGATTACATTTTTTTTTTTTTTAAGTTAGAGCATCACTCTGTTGCCCAGATTGGAGTGCAGTGGCATGACCACGGCCACTGCAGCCTCGACCTGCTGGGCTCAGGCAATCCTTCCATTTCAACCCCTCAAGTAGCTAGAACTACAGGCCCACACCAACATGCCCAGCTAAGTTCCTTTTTTTTTAAAGATGAGAAAATATAGTTTATTTAAAAAGTAAATGAGAGAGAGAGAAAGAGAGAGAGAGAGAGAGAGAGAGAGAGAGAGAGAGAGAGAGAGAGGAGAGATTCACCTCCCCAAGGTAGAGAACGGGCCAAAGGCAGGAAACATGGTAATGGCCATAGCTCAAAGAGCACATGGCCATACCAGAGTCTAGTAAGGCAATGGCCAAGTTTTTTATTTCATTGTAGAGATGAGGTCTCACCAAGTTGCCCAGGCTGATCTCGAACCCCTGAGCTTAGGCAATCCACTTGTCTTGGCTTCCCAATGTGCAGGAATTACTAGGCGTGAGCCACTGTACACGGCCTGATTACATATTTTTAAAACACGGTTCTACATTTATGTAGATAAATGACTGAATAATAAATGGAGAAGAATGGACACATTTTCCATAAAGAAGAAATTAAAATAATGTATGTATATACTCTGCCCTTAAGAAGGTGGAGCCTAAATCCCCATTCCTTCAGTGCAACCTGCACATAGTGACCTCCTTCCAAAGAGTATAGTGGGAAAGGGGGAAAAGGATAACTTTGTATTGGAGAAACCTGACAAACACTGCTAGGAGATCAAGATCAACATCAATGGCAACACATCATGTTGACAATAAGCACCTCTTGATACGGCAGGATAAAATGGCACTTTACCTCTTCCTCCACAAAACCCGTAACCCTCGTTTAATCAAGAGAAAGTCATCAGACAAATTCCAATTAATAGACATGTACAATATACTTAGTACTGACTAGTTCTCCTTAAAATTGTCAAGGTCATCAAAAACAAGTAAAGTCAGAGAAAATGTCACAGCTAAGAGGAGCCTAAGAAGATATGACAAATACACGTAGTGTGGTATCCTGGATGGAAGCCTGAAA